CCCCCCAAACCAGTACATTTATAAAATGAATTAGACTTAAATCAACAAGTGGGATTTTATGAATAGCAGCACACAAGACAGCAGCCTTGAGTGTTATTTCTGCAGGTTTAAGGATATGAAATCTGATGTCTAAGAGAGGATGCTAGGAATAAAAGAGAGGAGATGATATCTTCTAGAAGGCAGAGAATAATTTCTCTGAAACAAGAGTGGCAAGGGTGGGAATAAAATTCTGAAGTGTCTGTCTCCTTATCTTGCCAAAGTCCATGGACTACAAGGTCTTTTCTCCAGCTGGTGAATTTCTCCCATGTTTTGTGTTCCATCTGTCTCAAAAGAAGGCATTAAAAAAAATTATCAATAGTCACTGTGGACAGGGTTTTTGAAAGATACTGTGATATTGTGCTTTTCTTAAAGTAGTCCAGTTTTGTTATGCTGAACAGCCATGCAATGCCAGAAGCCTTTTCATTAACAAGTTTAACAAGGTGCATGCTGCATCATTAACTAATTAAGGGGAAAATGTAACAAAAGAGGAAGAGTAAAATGTTACATTTCTGTCTATCAGCAACTCTTCTTTAAATCTTCACAAGTTGCTACTTAGGATATTTTCTGTTCACACCTGTATGATAGAAGAGATCTTCAGATACTGCAGTTTCTTCAGCTCCTTAACAACTTAAGTATCCCTCCTTAGCTGAGTACCTTCTATCCAGATCAACAAGTGTGTGCCCTCAGCAGTTCTGCTTTTGCTAGAATTGAAAATTTGGTGATTTGCTCTTTTTTATGCAGCTTAGAGAGGTCTAACATTTTACCAGCATGTCTCTGTATCCATCAGTTGGGCCATACCCTAATGCTATGTCCAAAAATCCCATTCCAAACTTCCTCATGAATTTCAGTCCCTTCTGGCAGTGGCGTTCCTTCAGCTCTGGTGGCATTCACAGAAACTCGCTGGCTTTTACCTGCACCTGCATGCTGGAGGTCAGAGTGGTGCCTCCTCCAGCTGAGCAGCTAATGGTAGGTGCTCTGTAGGTGCTTGCCTTTCCTGGCTTTGCAGGTGCTGTGAACAGCCTCTGTCCTGGTCTCCCTGCTGGTTTTGATTTTCAGATGGCAATTAGTAAAAAAAAAAAAATAGAAAAACAAAAAACAAATAAGCCAAACCTAGTTCAAAAATCTCATCTAAGCCCCAGGTCTAGCAAACTGATCAAGTATTAATAACCTTCTTCTAATTGCTTTCTGCTGAGATCATCCAGACATTTTTATTTTTCCTCATACATTGCCTTCCATCAGTTTCCTTGTTGTTGACATACTTCGTATTCATGCTGACCCTCCTGGGAAAATTCACAGCTTGATTAGAGCAGAAGCTGGGTTCCTTGTTGAATAACGTGTTCAGATTTAATAGCATTCTGCTTGCCACGTTTGAATACAAAATGCTCTCCTCTCCTAAAAGCAAAACAGCTGCTGTGAACTTTTTTGCAGGATAGAGGCTAAACTTTTATTACTGGGAACAACGCTGGAAATAGGGCACTGAGCATGTTACAGGGTACAAGCTCATGCTGTCAATAGAGCTTTGATTACAACAGTAACAATTGTGTTGTGGTACTTCATAGATATCAAGTTGGACAAAGTTCTGTGTTGGGGGATTGAATGCAGTGGATTTCAAAACTGCATTTTCATTGGTGCTTCATAATTCTCTTCAGTGTTACTTCTTCTGTGTGGCAGTGAGGAAACAAAGTGTAGTTAAAACATTAAATACACACTGAAGTTAGGCTTTATATTAAAAATTAATATAAATATCCTTCTCAGAGGTAACAGAAATTAGCTCTTTCCTAACAGTCACAGGAATTTCATGCCAAATTTAAGCTTTTTTTCCCTCCACCAGGTAAATACCACTGTCCAGTGCTGTTCACTGTATTCACCAATAACTCCCATATTGTGGCCATCAAGACAACTGGAAATGTGTTTGCCTATGAGGTAGGTTCTCTGTTGCACTTCTAATGCATGTGACTAATACCTGATGCATTTCATTCAAGGTCACAAAGTGCTTTAGGAAGGTAAGTTTTATTCTTGTTTTACAGTCAGAGAAATGAAAATACAAGGAGATGAGCTGACTTCACAAATTTTTGTCCAACTTTTGCCTTAAAAATATGAGCAACCTTCAAATATGATTTAAAAGATTTTAAAAAAACTTTTCCTAAGTTAATCTCTGTGCACTGAATCTGGTAAACCAAAATTAATAGCTTTTATATGCTCCTCAGTTGAATTAATAGACAAATTTTCATTTGTCTTCTTTCTGATACAGTCATCAGGAAAACACAAATCACCTCATTTCTGTTTATATCAATGAATGAAAAGGAGTATTTTAACTGAAGCTGGGGAAAGAGCAGAGAGAATGCCTTAAAGGACACTTGAACTGCATTTTTATTTGTGTTTTGTGAAAGTTTGTGTGAACCCCGGTGGAATTTCAGTTGTGACTTGTTTGCATAATCCTTACTGTAAAAGCAAGGTTTATTTATTTTCCAGTAGAAAATCATTAAATTAATGGATCCATATCCAGAGTTGTAAAAAGTCTGAACACTGAAACATCTGCTTTTTGAAATGTGTTGATGGGAAATTCCAGCAGGACTTTCAGATACTGAGAGAGGGGCAAGCTGAAAGTGTTCCGATCAAGGAAAGGCTGGATTCATGAAGTTTTTGAAAACTTGCTCATTTGTAGTTGAACTGTCTTCATTCCAGCTGTGAGAGCGGTCAAGACTAGGCTAAAATAGCAAGTGTTTTCTGTTCCTTCTGGAACCATGATGCTTTGATTGCTGGGTTAAAAGGCAATTAATTGTGATTAATTTGGTTAAAATGGTATGGATAACTGTGGAATGGGGACTGCAAGGTTCTTTTTTTAAAAAAAACCAAAACCACACCACCCAAAACTGTCAAGTTTTGTAGGGGTGAAAGACAAGAGCTTCTCATCTGTTAAAGCACACAATGAAAATATCACAGCTGCCAGTTGAGAATGAAGGGTGAAATTGTTTTCTTTATAATTTGTACTTTAACTTTTTATTGGTATCAGGTATTTACTTGTAATATTTACACATTAGAATCCAATTTTTAATATCTGTGACTTTTGCCTGACTGTTAGGCAGTTGAGCAGCTGAACATAAAACCGAAGAGCTACAAGGATCTTTTGACAGATGAGCCCTTCACTAGGCAAGACATTGTGACACTGCAGGTAAACTTTTCTTTCTGTTACAGGTCTTAATATACAGTCTTTTTTGGAGAGGATAAAGTGTTGCAATGTACACTGTTACGGCAGGAATCTAGAATAATTGAACAGAGAAATATTGCCTGCGTGTATGTCTTGCAGATAGGTAGAACTGCTGTTTCTCCTTTGTTATCCAAATGAGCCACAAAGATGCCATATAACTTAGAGCTTCATGGATCTCTGGAGTGATTATTGTGTGCCTTGTAGATAAGCAAATTTTTCAACTTTGTAAACTGAAGGAGGGAAAAAAAAGGTGCCAAGAAAAGCTCAAGAACACCATGTAAAAATGTGAATTTTGACAAATGCATTTCACTATTTCACTGTATCCAAATGAATATAAGATCTTGTGCATAACTATAAACTGTAGATATGAAACTACACATAGTATTTTTGGTTTTTTTTTCTGTTAATCTTGCCTGAAAAATTGCTGTGACACCTGATTCACTGTGAGACTTAACAGAAGTACATTGCTAAATGGCGGGGTAGATGAAAGGTAAAAATATGTCCAGAACCATCTTCAGCTCTAGACAGCCAACAATATGTGGTGTGTTATCAAAAGAAACATGTTTTAGAATGTAAAGTATGTAAAATTTTAGGAAGTTGACATGTTACATTATGACTGAAGTTGATTGTCTTACTTTTGAAGATGCCTGAAACGGTCAAAGCTTCAAAGAAGCATGTTTTTCATAGAATGTTTCTCTAAATTTAGAGTAACATGAGCAAACCAGGCAACTTTGTTTTAACTGCTTGCTTAGAATTTTTTTTTTTTCTTAATAGATATCAATACTGGTTTTCACCAATTTTAACAGAACTAAAACCTAAATTAAAGCAGCATTCTAAATTTCAGTGTAAAATATAGTTATTTACGGATAAGTTTAGTATCCAGAGATGTAAAACTTCGGTTTGAAAGTAAGCATTTTTAAGCTTGCATAATTTCAAAATAGAGGAAAAAAAAGATTCAGAGATCATTATTATTGGAGTTTTGATTTGGTATGCATCTCATGAACAGTTAATTACCACGAACCAAGACTAATACAGTCTAATTTAAATGGAAAAATATTTTTCTTTTATGTCTAAATTTAAATTAAATTTATCCCTTCTTTTCTACTCCCCAGTGCTGAACAGCATGTTTATAAATATTTTTCCTCTATTCCTTTGGGCTTGTGGCTGTTCAAGCTAATGTAACAAAGTAAAATCTTTTTAATCCAATGGAAGCAAAAAGCATAGCTTTTTCAGATTGAAAGCTCCCAACAGAATGTTATTTGAGTGTAACTGCATGGTTGCTAATGGATTTGGAACAGTAAAAAAAGAAAAAATGAGTGACTAAAAACGTTTCTGTGCATCACTATAGAAAACCAAATTATTTTGAACAAATAACTCAAATGTGCAGTCATTTAAAAATATTTTGGAATGTTTTCTAGATTTGGAATTGAATGTATGTATAAAGAGTGTGTTGCTGTTGCACGCTTAGCTTTGACTTTTCATAAAAGCAAACAGATGCTCTAGACCCCTAAATCTCAAAATGCAATAGCTAGCAATTTAGATGTTCTGTGCCCTGTGTGGATTTTTTCAACATTTTTCATCTTCATTCTGTTCTTGACTTGCTGGGTTTCTGTGTTGCTTGGAGGAATATGTCTATTAACAGAAACTAAGTAGATTGTGATAGTTGTCCAGCCACTGGTGCAGTCATCCTGCCAGCTGCACGCAGGTCACAGCCATACATTGCCTCTGCCTCTCACGTCTGTTCAGGATGCTGTTCATACTATGTGACTAGATTGTTCCTCTTAAGTAAACAACTCGTTATGGATTGGTGTTAACTTTTGTAGTGTATGATCTTGTCTTATGCTCTTCTCAAATAAGTTTATAAATAGGAAAGACACTGGGGTTGGACACGGAGAGATTTTGACCATCAGAATGCTGTTAACCAGCTAAAGTTTGCCCCTTTGCCTGATTACTTTTAAATATTTTCAAAAAAAAGATTTTCTACGAACAGGCTAAAATTGGCTTTGGGGTGTTGAATGAGAAGCAGGAGCCATTTAATGCACTGCACAACACCCACTGCAAACCTACAGGTATAGCTTGATCTCTATTATTCAAATGCTGCCCTACCCTGACTTGCTTTATCGAGGCCAGAATGCAACCTGAAGTGGTAGGAGTAGCCTGGGTATTGAAATTGCTTATGCATATGTGGTATAGGAATCTGTTGTTATTTTCTCATAGTATTTTCTTCATGTAAATTGTTGAAAGGCAGACCAGTGTCTCCTCTACAAGCTCTCATTGACAACACTTCAGGCAGCGTGGTGGCTTCACAGTGCCAAGCTCTGGCATCTGTGGCTTTGTTTCTTAGCCAGAGTTCATGACTGCAATCTGTTGTGTTTCAGTTTGTGGCTTTAGAGCTCTATCCCAAATCCTGCTTCTTTTAAAAACCTTCCAATTCTGTGTGTAAATTTATCACTGTGTTGTTTTCCCACTCCCCTGTGTAAATTGAGTACTGTGGTAGTGAGAGAGCTGGAATTGAGAGGGACTAGGTATCATTGACCCTGCTGTTTGGCAAAAAGGTAGCTATAACGGAAGTTGCTATAAAAAACATTATTTGCTTTGCAAATAACAGCTGAATAGGACTGTCTGTAAGTAGCTGTGTTTATCAATAGAAATTGATAAACTCCAGAGGCTGAGGCTGAATGTCTTAGGAAGCAGATGGGTACTTCTGTTTGGTAGTGAAATATGACATGATAAATGGAAATTTTGAATAGCATATGTTTACTGATTATTTGTATGATCTCATTTTTCCTTATTGATACATGAAGGGCAATCCTACGACTACTAAGGATGTTCTTTTACAGAATAGCAATTGACCTCAAACTTGACATCTCTCTCCTAATTGATATATAATTAAGAATAAAATGAAAAGAATTTGCTCTTTCCAGAAGAGAGAGAATTCCATAAAATGATTTGTTTCGTTCTCTGTGCTAACTATTATTCAAACACTAATCATAATCTATCCCTGTTATCTTTTCTGGTGAACAGAACCTCAGCTGGTTGCTTAGATTTTAGTGATAGTTATTTGTGATCTATTGCTATTAAATTTACTTGTCAAAAAGGACAAGGTGTTTTTGATCTGAAACTAAAGAAAGCAAAATCTTAACTTTCCTTGTTAATAACACTATCTTAGATCTGTGATATACTTCTCTTTTTAAAGCAATACAGAGTGCTTCCAGCACTTACAGAAATTGCTTTTTTCCCTGTTGAAATGCAAATATCCTGGGGTAGAGCATGGCAGTCTTTCATCAACATATGGTGAAATTATCCAGCCCCTCAGGGCAGGTGGTAAAGAATAATACGATACCCTGGTGTGCAAGATACAGTACTAAAACTGGAACATTGTTATTCAGGCAAAAGATGTCATGAATTCTGGTTTAATATCTTGCTGATAATGACAGAAATGCACATGACATTATTCCATATGAAACCCTTCCTAGACACCAGCAGTCTTAGTATGACTGGATTTTTTAGACTGTAGCTCTTTACCCTTAAGTTGAAATTTCCTTTTCTTAGCTGTGTGATCTTGTCAGAAACTCAAGTCCAATTTTCCATCTTTACAGTGCAGGTATTACTTTTTTCCAAGTAGTTTTTCTCACAACTCTACTGGTCCATATCTCTTCTAAATGGAATATTGCTGTTGTAGTTTGTCTGTGTTTCTTATAACTCAAAACCCACTTGTATTCTTTTACCTTGAAAGATGATCATCTCAGCCTAACTTAGCATCCCTTGCAAATGTTATCAGTGTGCTACCAGCTGACAGACAACTCAAATACTCCCAGGTTTATTAGTTATATACTTAATGGGTAAGGTATGATGTAAAGGACTTAGAGATCTATGGGGACTGGTTATCTGTAATAGGAATGCTGGTTTTGTTGAAGCTTATTTATAGTCTTACCTAATTTTTTTTGCTTCTCATTCTGGTACATTGCTGTTCATCATTTCACTTTAAAAATATTTTAAAGGTAGGGTTCAGTTTAGCTTTGAAAGAGTTGACATATTAACATTACTTTAGACTACAATTTGGAGCCAGGTGATTGTTTCAGTCCCATGTTCTACAGGTTTTCAGCTAGTTTTTAATCTGAATGTTTAACCTAATTGTAAGTTATCTTCCAAGTATATTTGTGGGGGGGATGTAATTCACTGTTAAATCTCAAGGTCTGCTGTCCAGCAGTTATTCTTTGTGAAAAAATCTGGTATAGTCTGGTAGAAATGACTATTAACTGCTGTTACTGTAAATTCTGTTTGTATTTCAATCATATATTTTGCAAGTCATTATTTGTGCAATGATGTGGAACTTATTAGCAAGCACATAAGTAAGTGTAATCTGGATTCCTTCCTATAAGAGTGGGCAAGCTGCAGGAAGCACCTACCCCAGCTCCAAATGAGCAGAGAGGAACAGGGTCAAGTAGTGCTTTGCTGGACATGGTGGTGGGCTCTGACAGTCTGTGGACTTCTTCCCATCACAACAAGCATGGAGGGTCCTGAGGAGAGCAGAGTAAGAATGCTGCAGTACTCTGCTGTCACATCCCCTTTGGCAGGAAGTGGTCAGAGGAACTAAAAACAATTTCCCCTTTAGCCCTCTCTCAATTCTTCTTCCTCTGCTATGTCCCTGTTCACAAACCAAAAGCCACAGCTCTCAAATTTGTGAAGGTACAGCAATTATTCCTACTCTAGAATGTCTTACAAGCTATTGCTGAGCTGTGTGCTCACAGAGGAGGGGAGTTGGTGAGGAGTGTGGCTCTGCTCAGCGGCACCGCTTGCAGGGAAAGCAGAGGCAGAGATGGTCTGTTCCCCTTCACCAGAAGAACTGCCAGAAACCCCCTCAGCCCTGTTGTGCCAGTGCTAATAGGCATAGTCCTGGTGGCAGCCTGCTCAGAGCCTCCCCTGATAGGTGCACACTAACAAATGCATCTGCTTTGCACCCCAGAAATGGAGGGGGTTCCTGGAAGAAATAAATAGACCAAAAAAAAGTCTGGGTAGAATGCAAATAGGTTTGCTGCAGTTAACAGTATGAGCCTTTTTTTTTTTTTTAATCTGTGCTTCCTTATGTCAATTTTATTGTTTCTGTATGACCTAATCAGCCGTGGACAAGACATGGTTCCCAACAAGCCGTTAAACACCATTGGCATTTGTGGCAGGAAGCATAACTAATGAGCTAAGTTGGAGGTAGCTGAGCTGCACACTGCTAATTGATATTGCACTCCTCAGCTCTGTCTCGTTTGCTCTGTGTGTGACAGAAGGCCAGAGCAGATTTCCTCTGAGTTGTGGGTGAGGGCTCTTTGAGGGCGAGTCCTGCACCAGTGCATGTGCAGAGTGGTTGGTGCAGGAGTGACATCTCGGGATGTGATCTGTGTGTGGAGGTAACGGTCCTGAAGATAATTAGGGATGCAGAATAGCCATCCATATGGTAAGAGAGGAGTCAGGCCTCAAAGAAATCACACAGTCTAAACTTGTGCTGGTTTTAACCTGCTTTTTTAGGGTTTTGTTTGGACAGTCCTTAATGGTGTTTAAGCTAATTCCCCAAGTAGGTAAAACTGGAAAATGATAGGAGAAAGTCCTAAGATTGTTTTCAGAGCTCACCTTTCAAGAAAACATTAAATAGGAGATATTTTTTTTTTCATAGTCATGATAGTTAGCGATCCTTTGAAGTCTGTACCTGTGCTAGTAATGTGCAAAATTAGAGTTTATGGTTTGTAACCTTAGTAAGAAAAACCCTGAGATTGCTACCCGTGGTAATTTGGATACATATTTTTAAACATACTAAGAGAAACAAAAGTAGGCCAATTCACTCATGATTCATCTTCCTTTCAGGTTTCTTTGCACTTAGAGCTTATTTCTTTAGGCCCTTGGGCTCTAGGCCATGATCTTAGCAGGGCTGGGAGCACCCCTGTGAGTCCAGCCTTTCTCGGACCAGGAGAGGCCATTAATCTGCTAGCACACGAGGCTTTGATGATGCAGGTACATCTGTCTGCCTGTCCCTGCAGTGTCTTGCTCACATTGCTCTGATTCTGTGCCCAGTAAGTGCCATGGGTGCAATGAGAGTAACTTGGCAGGCTAATTATTAGTGTTTAGACAATTCTTTTCCTGAAGTGATATGTGAAAGATGAGTGTGCTTTTAAAATTTACATAGAACTACCTTTAAAAAACATGTGTCTGTGTTGTAGGACTCGGTACCATCAGTAAGGAAATAGTTTGTCTACTTCAGCACAGGTACAGGTGTTTCTGCTCTTGGGGATGGTAGAAGCAAATGCTGTCTTGTGTCTAACTCGATATTCACTGCAGTACTGTTACACTTTGTATGTGTGTTTGTCTAATTCTAATCAAACTAATCAAATTTCTCCTACTGTATCATGATGCTGTATTTTAGAGAGAGGAATCGATATGTCAGCCACTTGTCCAGGGTGTCTTGTGTTAGATGACACTTGCATCTTTTGAGGGTTTTTTCCACTGACATAGGGAAACTGGTTTTGGAGTAGGCACGTGGGTTGTGTGCCCTCTCAGTGCATGGTGAGACTCTTGCTTTGCAGAATCAGGAGCACAAGGGACAGCACTGTAAATCAAACCTTTGTCAAAGTTTCTATTCGAACAAGTGTCTGACCTGACTGTGATAGAGGACCTTGGTCTCAGTTCTGGGGTTTGGGGTTGTCTCAAGTCTTGCCGTCGTCTGCAAGGAGAGGGAGCTGCGCCATGGCCTGTGCTGTCCTCTATACCATGCTGGATGCAGTGCCTATGGGGGAGTTTGCAGCGATTTGGAGAGCCTTGAGAAAGCACTTCCAGGGAAGGAGACTGTAACCATTTTTGAAGGAGTTGCTCAACGCCTGCAATTAGGCTGGTTAAGGCAGGTCTAATTTAAAGTGCTGGTTTAATTTGCAGGTTTGAATGAACTGTGGTTGTGAAACAGTTTGAATGAATCTGATTCATGGTAACCTGAGCACAAGACACTTGGTTTCATAAAGCACCATCAGTTGTGATGTCCTTTTATTTATTTTTAAGCAATCAATAAATCAGTACATCAAGAAAGCTTTATTTAGAGGAATATAGTGAAGGTGTGTCCTGATCCATCTTTACTTTGCTGTCTCCTGCCCTCCCTCATGTCCATGAAAAGCCAGCTTCAGGAGTCAGTCTTGCCCTTCAGCTTTGTCATGAATGGCAGACAGAGATTGCTATAAATCCATTTGTCTCTATTAATACACCAGGTTTTTTTTTTTCCACTCTTCCTGGAGAGGGTAAGCAGTCTTACTTCCTTCACCTTTTGAGGTGGTATATTTATGTGCAAGACAATGGTTTCTGTCTGGGGAAACCGCAGCTTGTGATTACTGAAGAGTATTTGGGAGGAGGCAGCTGGTGTCTTCAGGAAACACAGTGAGCCCTTTCTCCAGACTTTCTCCATTCATCTTGTTGACTGTCAGAGAGCAAGTCTGAAATTATCTCTATTCATACATACATAAATACTTATGTGAGGTAATAATAAATACACCTGAGTGCCAGTGTCAGGGGATTCAAAAGTGGTTTAAAAACATGTCCAAATTTTCTATTCCATAGTATTTTTATTTAAAGATTATCTGTTTCTAATGCAAGATCTTAAAATATCTTTTTTTGACAGTCTGTGTCTTGATGTCTAGATTTTGAATTGTTTTCTGTAAGATAGGATTTCCAGAAATGACTGGGTGTCCTGGGCTGATGTTTTGACCTTCCTGTGCTGCAGAGGAGCTTGAGGAGAAAACCTTGAAGTCATTGTAAGAAGAGGATTAAGGACTGTTTAATAACAGTATAATGTAATCTAGATCACCAGTAGGTGTTCCTTGTCTCACTCTCTTAACAAAAGGTCAAAGTTATGCAGAAAGTTGCCTAGAGATAGCATAAAGACTCACGGTTAATGGACTGTGTATGTTTGCCGTTTTCCTTGAGTGCTCAACCAACAAGAGTTTTCATAAAAACACTTTCAAAATCTCTTGTTATTATTATTTTTTATTTTTAAACTTAATCTGTAAGCACCTATTTCACTTGCAGAAGAAGCCAAAACATCAAAACAGTTCTAACTGCAAGGACTTGCTCTGAGGTTTATTTGTGTTTTGCAATGCATTACAAAAGTTCACAGAGCATGTGCAAACCAGGCACGCTGTGATAAATAGGAGATAACGAATGTGAATTTGCAGAACTTTTAGACCACACCACAGAAAGAAGGAAAGACTCAGGGGATTGCACCTCCTCCTTCTTTCTTCTCACTAGAATAGGGTAGACTCAGCATAGTTGTTAATAATTGCTGTAGGTAAAATATGTGTAATATCAAGCCTCTGATAGATTTTTATTATTATTATTTGCAGGATCCAACAAACCTGGATAAGTTCAATGTCTCCAACTTCTTTCATGTTAAGAATAACATAAAAGTAATTGATCCAGGTAAGGATGAATTGAAGGTAGGCTGAGAAAACACCAACCCAAACATATAAATTGTAAAGACAGTGTTATGGAATTTACACTTTTCTGGATGGTTCCTTCAGTGGCTCATGGTAACTTCAAAAGCTTCTTGGAAGCATGAATAACTTGTTGAAACTGTCCCTTTCACATAAAAAGGTGTTAACAAATTTGAAGCAAAGTTGTGATTCTTTGAGAAGTCATTAACTATCTCTACCTGTACAATCATAGAAAGCTTTCAATGTCCTTTAGGAGTAGGTAGATGATAGAGAAGTGAGAAGAGGAGGAAAAAGTAGCTTACCTAAAGGTACATTAACTTTGTACCAGAACCAGGATAAGGAAACCTACATCTTCTCATACCTGTCTGCTACGCTGTCTTTCATGTGTATCAACAATGTATTGTCCATCCTTCAGCCTGGATAACAATGAACATCTTCCATCTCAAAGACTGATAGAGATTTTTCTAAAATAATCCTCAAATTATTTTAATAACATTTATTTTTCATTTCTAGCTATGTGAGAAATATACTTTTCAATGCTTTTGTGAATATTTGGGTTTTTTTGATAGCTACATCCCTAGTAATATCTGCTAATACTAAATTGCTGAAGGAAAAAATTCCTTTGCCCTTATGGTTTGTCTTAGAACAGTTCCTAGTGAGATCTAGTTGCTGAATCCAAGCATGGTGTGCTTTTCTAGGTCTTATTATGGTAATCTTTTTTTTAAAAAAAACAAAACAAAACAAAAAAAACACTAGTTCTGCAAGCAAGCATCTCTCTATTTACCCGCTAAAAAAATCTAGATATTAGCTAAAACATGGAATATTTAATATCAAGCAAATAGTAGGCATGCCAAGACAGAGAACAAGTGAAGCTTGTAAAAATAAAAAAAATTAAATTAAAAAAAAAAAATCAGATCAAACTCTACAGTCCAGTCTGCCAGCCTCCTCACCCTTTTATCACGTTAAAGATCTCATCTTGGGATTGTTGCATCACTGGCCTGGCCATTCAGTGAGGAGACAAAGGACAAAAGTTTATAGTGTACCCAACTGTATCTCATCTCTATTGTTCTATAAAAATTTTATGAGACTTGATTGAACTTAGATAATTTCTAGTGGTTTCAAAGAAGTTTTTGCAGTAGTTGGTTTTAAGTTGTTGTTTTGTTGTGGGTTTTTTTGTTTTTTTTTTTTCTTTTGTTGTATTCCATATTGGCATTTATTGTGCTATATTTAAGTTACACTGTTGTTAGTGTTATGCATTGTTATTTGTTGCTATTTCTGCAGGAATTAATATAGATGGTAGACCTTTTTATTAAAAAAAAGTAGAAATAATATACGGAAGATTTTTGTGTAACTAGATGTATAATAAACTGAAGGAGAACAAAATAGAATCTTTTTTTTAACTCTGAATGATTTAACTTTGTCTTATCTAGATGAAGAAAAAGCAAAATTAGATCCATCTTACTATTTGAAAAACACAAATACAGAGACCCGAGAGACTTTACTGGAGCTTTATAAGGAATTCAAAGGTGATGATATTCTAGCAGCTACTATGAAGGCTCCTGAAAAGAAGAAGGTGGATAAGCTGAATGCTGTAAGTTGACTTAATTTGTAGTTTGGCACTGATTGACTTCTTCAGAAATGGTAATAGATGTTTTCCAGCTTAGAGGCCATATTGCAGCATAAACAGAGACTACTCCTGTTTGCTGTTACATGGAAATCTGTCGTGGATGAGAATCATATTGAGACTCCTTAGAAATACATTGTATGTGTCAGCGAGTTTCTCTTTGTTAAATGACTATAAATGAACCTAAACATTTTAGAGATGGAGCACAATAAGAAGGAAGAATCTTTATGATGTGGTCATGATGTGTATTATGTTGGCAGAACCTCTTTTCCCCGAGTTGTAATCTCTTGCTTTGAATTTGTTTATCATTGCTTCCCGCAGTTATTGGCAGAGAGGACACACCTTAAGGGCAGCGCGAGTGAATCATTTCTGGTCTGGGCAATTACATAAATCACCCACAGCTGCTTCTCTTTTTTTTTTTTCTCCTGGAATTCAGGATTTTAAGTAGAATATTTTAAAGGATGTTCTTCCAGGTGCATGTTACTGTGTTCATAGTTGTCAAGAGAAACAATTCATACGCATCTAGATTTCCTACATCAAAGGCTGTTTGAAGTGGGCAAGACACAGTATTCTACTTTCCTTGAATGATTATGGGATGTATGTGGCTTTGTGCTTTGATTAGACTTACACAAAAAGGAATAATAATGCAGCACGTGGCATTTAATGATGCCTAGTGACAGATTAGGGAGTGTATGTGATCAAGGAGTAGGGTCACATTTGCTCCTTCTTCAGGACATCGAAGTGTTATAAGAAAACAAAAGTTGTAGGGAGGGAAAAAAAAAAAGTTGTGAGAGACAACAATGAGCTCTACATACATACATTCTGGAGGGCCAGAATGCTGGCTGATGATATGTATGGGCATAATTATAAACTGGCATAGGATGCAGTGTAACCTTATGGACAGAGCATTGGCCTGACCTGTGTTCTTCACAGACGTTGCCCCAGAGCTGCTGAATGCATCTTCAGGTTATTAGAGCTTTGTAGTTTACTGCAAAATCCATGTGCAACATTCACATTTCCTTTCTGCAGGAGAATTGCAGAGATCAAAATAGACATTGGGAGCCACGGGACAGTGCCTGTGCACGCAGAAGGGCTGTGTGTGGGAGGAGGTGGTTTGCTTTCCTCCGCAGGATCGCTGTGGTTCGCTGCATTTCCCTTCCACTTACTCAGCAATGTCAGAGGATTTTACAGATGTCTTGCCAGCAATACTCTTTTCATATATCCACTTGTGGACATAGAAATAAATTCTTACAATAGAATCTTTGCATAATGGTGTATTAAACTGTAGTGGAAGCAGTAAGCCCCTTCAGCTCAGTGCATGGGTAGCCTCGACTGGAGTCTCATCAGAGCAAACGTTACGGATAACAGATGGGGATTTATCACTGCATCAGGCATTTGTTTCTTTCCATAGGAGCTTGAGTGGAAAGTCTGCCTCCAGAAGGATGACGTTTGTCTGATTCTAGTGCTTATATAGTATCTTTAGTAGATAAATCCTAAGATTTAATGTCTTTTTCTCTTGCTTTTCCCTCTGCAAACAGGCTCACTATTCCACAGGAGCAGTAAGTGCTTCCTTCACCTCCACTGCAATGGTGCCTGAAACTACCCACGAAGCAGGTACCACAACTACCTAGCTACAAGTTATTTACTTACTAGTTGTTTTAAAGTGTGCTCCCTAGCACACATACATTTATGAGGACTGAAGGAATGCATTGATAATTGGTCAGTACTGATGTCATGGAAATGTATTCCTTGAGCAGATATATCCTTACTTTCCAGTGAGTTCATTCTGAAAATAATAGAGCAATTACGAATTAGCTTTGGCTTTGAATGGCAGCTACTTACGTTCAGCTGAAACTAACGAGGTATTTTCTGTGCCCAGGGACCACAAAATGGGATATCCACTTCTATAAGTTAGGAATGAAGTATAATCTCTCCTCAAATAGCATACAAGCTCTTTTCCACCCTTTTGGCCTACCCCAGTGTTGGTTAGGATGACAGCAAATTTTATGGTGATAACTTTTGGTTTACTGTTTCTCAAAGTTACACAAAAATGCATTTTAGTATAGTAGAGTTTTCCTTTCACTCTCCAGCCTAAATACAAATATATAGCAGGTACTGAACTCAAATATTGATTAAGTAGCTGAGTGATTAGTATTCCCAGCTGAAGAGAAAGATCTGGCTTTCAACACTGACATTTAGAAGTATGTCATACACTTGGGTAAAGACTGAATACATTGCTAAAACTACTTTTACCAAGTACAGTTCCTTTACTTGGTGGATTACAGTGATTTGCAGGTGACTCTTTAATTGTTGAAAATATATGACTAACTGGGCTTTGTGGCAAAATGGAAGTGGAAACTTCTGACTACAAAACTGGGAGGAGTGGCTGACACATCAGAAGGCTGTGCTGCCATTCAGCAAAACCTGGACATGCTGGAGAGTTGGACAGAGGGGAACCTAGTGAAGTTCAACAAGGGGAAGTGTAGAGTCCTGCACCTGGGAAGGAATAACCCCCTGCACCAATACAGGTTGGTGGTCAACCTGCTGGGAAGCAGCTGTACAGAGAAGGACCTGGGAATCCAGATGGACAACAAGTTAACCATGAGACAGCAATGTGCCCTTGTGGCCAAGAAGCCAAATGGTCTCCTGGGGAGCATTAGGAAGAGTGTGACCAGCAAGTTGAGGGAGGTTTTCCTGCCCCTTTACTTGGCCTTAGTGAGGCCGCATCTGGAGTATTGTGTCCAATTCTGGGCTCCCAGTTCAAGAGGGGCAGGGAACTACTACTGGAGAGAGTCCAGCAGAGGGCTACAAAGATGATTAGATAGCATTTCTCATATGAGGAAATGCTGAGAGTCTTGGGACTGTTTAGCCTGGAGAAGGGAAAACTGAGAGGGGATCCTAGAAATGCTTATCAGTATCTAAAGGGTGGGTTTCAAGTGGATGGGGCCAGACTCTTTTCAGTGGTGCCCAATGATACAACAAGAGGCAACAGGCACAAACTAGAACGTCTCCAGAGTTCCCTTCCAACTCCTGCCATTCTGTGACTCTAATTCTGTGTGAAACATCCTAGACTGATCCTTTAGTTTGATTTTCCAGTAATGTTTCCAGTAACGGCTTCATTTGTTTTCAGAACTGTATAGGTCCTCATATGTCAGCAGTTTGTGGTTGACTGATGACTACCCACTTGGCTTCCAAGTTTGACAAGAAATAATTTGCTTTCAGAGTAACATTTGTGATTGGTAGACATCACTTGAAAATTATAGTTTGTACTATTAAATGCTTCTCTGACTTGAAAGTATAGATGATATTGCTGGCTCTCGAGGAGCTGGTGGTTTTCTCTAATGGAAACTCTTTTGCACAGAGATTAATGTGAGGTTATCATAGATAAATTGCAGAGTACAGTCCCTGAAGACCCAGTACCCCAGGGGAAGAGGTCAGACGGTAGAATCTAGCAATTTGCTTTCTGATGATTTGTAAAGATCAATGAGTAAGCTTCTGTAGAGCTAATTATTGTCTTTTGCTTTGATACAGCTGCTATTGAAGAAGATGTTGTGAGATACAAATACGTGAAGAAGAAGGGCTATGTACGACTTCACACTAACAAAGGAGACCTAAACTTGGAGCTGCACTGTGATATGGTACTGTGTGCCCCCTAAGATCAATCTCTCTAAATAACAAACAGAACAGGAGCTGGTAGTGGAAATGTCCAAAGAAAGGAATGGTGTGTAGTTGTAACAGATAGAGGTAAATAACTACCTTTCAGTTGTTTTGGTACATTTTCATGCATACACAAAATGCTATTGTAAAATGTAAATGTTGTTTTATATATTATACTACTCTATGTATAAATGTGTACTCACAGAGAATATTTCCATACATTTTAGATCCATACATTTTAGTGGACTGCTGACGTGTTTAGAGGTGCAAAGCGTCAGGATTATCATGGCCCAAACAATGACATGGAAGAGAGAAAATAGAAGAGCACAGAGAAGAGAGAGAAGTCTGTCAGCCTGAGTATATGTAGTTAAGAACTCCAGAAATAGTTAGATGTGCTTCTAAATCCTGAGCTTTACAGAGGAAGAAAAAAAAAAAAAAAAAGAAAACCTTAGAATATGTTTTTACTTTTTGCTGTCTCAGTTTTCAAGATTCAAGTTTTCAAACATCTTCCTTTTGCTGTTATGAGGCAGACATTCATTCTTTTTAAAAAAATGACTAGAGCTTTTTATAGTCAATACAGTCTCATTCTGGGGGAAATCTGTGGCTCTTAAAATAATAAACATGGCAAGACTTATGACAGACGGGTGAGTTGTGGTGACACTGCTGTCTCAGACGTCACTGCTCACTGGTGTACTTGCTTATTTATTTGTAGAAACACATCTATAAAAGGAAAAAAAAAGTTTTCAATGTAAAAAGCGCAAACCTCATATTGTTTACTGAGATTTTTATCTCAGGAGATGATAGGCCTGAAGCTAGATATTTTAGGAAGTTGAAGGATGTGAATAGGGATTTAAATAGTAAAACTTCTGCTTGTTGTGACCTTCATAGAGTTCAAGGACAGTGGTGATGGCTAGAAACCCAGAGATGTTCTGAGAGAATGTATCCTTTTTTTGCCTGGGAGAAAGAAAAAGGAGGAGACAGAACAAGCCTGCTAAGTTTCCCTTCTCTTCCTTTCTCTCCCAGGAGTAAGAAGCAAGCTATGTCAAGCTGATCTGTGGAAACAGTATGAGAATCTCCACAGCAGCCTGTCGTGCTAGGAACTCTGTCGCTGTGTCATCCCTACAGGTGTTTTCCGTGCTCTTAAATAGTAACACTCTGCAATAAGGCAAAAAGCAGAGGATGTTAGTACAGCAATATTTGGGGGAAGCAGCAGAATGAGCAGATTGCATTGAATCATTTGTTTTGCCATATGTTCTCAAACTGGCTTCTGGCTAATGCAGGCTGACTGCAGCTATTCTTATCAGCGTGGGGTTTTTGGCCATGTGTGACCAGTGTCACTGTCCTGAGGACCCAGCCTCAATCACCCATTATAAACTTCCTGTATGATAGCCATTGTGTTTCCTTTTTTCCAGATGAATTCCTGCTCATCTCCCTTTCATACAGACTGCTTCCTCGTGTACACATGGGGAGTGTGCACTTCTACACAGCCAGGCCTGCCTGAGCGCTGGCCTCGAGCCATCTGTTCCTTGCATTTCGTTGTGTGGATTACATCTGTGTGAATTAAGCAGACCTTTGGCACTGCAGAGGGGAAAAAGATATATATTTAGAATAAGTAGGAAAAAACTTGCTGCTTTAAGGAGGTTTTCACAACATCCACTTTAGGTCATCATCCTAGGTCTATTAAATCAGTTCTTCCGGGAGCTGCTTGTTTTTCTCCCTTTACTATATAAGGAGTTTGTGCTTCTGACATTGGGTTTCCTGAATCACACTGAGGTTAAGCACATAAGGTAGCTCAGTGCAATAGAGCAAACGTTTTGCACACATATAACACATGTATAAGTCACAAATATATATACAGTTCTATCAAGATTGCAAAGACATACATAGAAAATAAGGAAATGGCAAATCAACCTTTTCTAAACACATCCTGTTCAGCCTACTTGTGAATATGCATGGTAATAGTCTTAACTAATCATATGCTGGGGTTTTATCAACTCTCCTGGCTAATTCAGTGCACAAGCTGAAGCAGTTCTGGCAGCTATTTGGAACTATGTGGTGAAATAGTTCGTATGCAGGATTTGGTTTTCCTGCAAAAGTGTAGAATGGGGGTAGGTACCTTGAATGCAGTCAGGGGGAAGTAGACTGTATCATAATGCTTAACTAAATGTTGCACAGGCTTTTTGGTGCCTGACTTTTTAGCCCTCATGATTTTTTAAATGTAATTGTCATGGTTAGTACCCTTTTTTTTTCAGAAAGAAATTGAGAAACAAATTTCAGCCCAAAGCACTGTATTGGCACACACTGATTGACACACATCAGCAGATCTGGGGTCCCTGGATTCAACTTGAGTGAATGACAGACCCAGTAGCAGTATAGGGCTGCCATTGCTGTTTGAATTCAGACAAAATATGTGTGGTGTGGGGAATTCATACATCTACTCTCTCAAACAGTGCAACTTCAGACGTACAGGGATTTATAAGCTGTGCTACAGTGGTACTTAGCTTGTCTTTTTAAAGACTGAATGCTGCCTGCCTGATTGTTGTCTTCACCTGACCACAGGCTCCTTTTTTTGTTTGCTGAGTGATCTCCTGTGCTCTGGTTATTGTGGAAGCCACCCTAGCAGTGGTTTTATTTGTGTAGTACTGCACATATGTGATTGTGAAATGCTTTAGGAAGCTTGAGGATAAATTTGCTATATAAATATGACAAATGAGTACCTGTGTCTGGAGGTAGGAATTGCAATGTTGAAATTACTTTTTTAAAGTCTTATGGCTTAGATGTCAATATACAATTTGAGGTGAAGTCTTGCTAAAATAGAATGTAAGTCTACTGAATCTTCAATTGTATTTTCATGCCGATGGGCTGTATTTAAGCAAAATATTCCTGCAGTTGTGCTCTCAGCAGTCTGCACTGCTTCTGAAGTCTACCTCTGTCTTCAGTACCCGCCTTGGGTCCTTACTTGCCCTCCATTCACAGCTCTTCTGTCTCCCATCCTTTCTTTCCCCTGTGTTTTGAGAGCTGTCTGGCAGCATGGTTTGCTTGGAGTTCAGTCCATATGTACACGTGGAAACTTTCGTTTAAATATAAATCTAGGGATCTTCATATACTAGTACTTTAAGGTGCCAATCAATGAGATTGATAGTGATGAGATTCTCCCTAGCACCAAACACCTAATCAGGAAACATTTTGTATTGATCCAGGGGAGGAAATCAGTGCTGCTGCAGTGTGATTGAAGTCATCAGTTACTTTGTGACAGGATTCAGAAAGAGAGCACGAAATAGGTCTAGGATCCAGATATTTTCTGTGTTTGAAATCACTTGTTCAGAGCACCAGAAAACTTCACTTAGGTTTCAGAAATATGATGTGTGGTTTAAATCATTGACCTGAGGAAAGGCAATAAAAAGACTTTGGAAGATAAGCTGGATTTTTTTTTCTCACCCTTTTGTATTTGTCCCTCAAATGAGCAAAGGTACACTACTGTTCTCTATTCACATCTTAGCCATGTGCCTAGTGCTCTTTGTTGCCATTTTTTTTTAATCCCAGTCTTCTTACTCAGATACAGTATGTTCCTGCTGGTGTGTACTAATCAGATGTCCATTTGTTAGGGACATTTTCCAGGAAGCTGAGTTCAGCTTGGCGTAAGCAACATTTGTTGTATACACTAATTGGAAACAAATTTACAAAAATTCTACTTGCCAGAAGTGATTCTGGCAAGCACAGAAGATTTAACAGCATCCAACAAGTGTTATTTTTTCAGCTCTAGTTTTATCCTTGCCAAACAAATGAGTTATGGAGAAATAACTGATGAAAGACAATTGGTGTCACTGGATTCCTTGTATTTTATTTACTGTGATTTTTCTAGTTTCCTCAAGTTCTTTTAGCTGCTTTAATCAGGATGTTGCTGGGGACAACTGTCTATATCATCCTCGTGTATTCTGCTGTATTAGTTACTACAGTGATGCAGCTGTACCTTGTAGGCAGTGGAGCAGCCTCCTAAGGCAGAGCAGAGGCTTTGCCCTGTGCAAAATGTCAAATTAACTTGCATGTTGAAGTAGAAAAGCAGTGTGGTGTGATGGATAGAGTGGAGAACTGGGTGCTGGTAAGCCCTGAATTCTGTGCCTTTGCCACAGACCTGCTGCATGCTGTGACTGTCATTTGGTGACAGGATTTTTTAAATCAGTGGCATCCCATTTTTTATTTCACAATGAGCAATAAATGTAGGCATAATTTTGGATTCTCAGGCAATAACATGTGGCATAGAAACCTGGTTGCTGGAGTGCAGCTATGCAAGTAACTGAGGCTGCCTGTTAGAATCAGCAGCCCTGGATAAGAATAGACAGATTCTGTATCTCTCCACCTGTGAAAGGGAATAAAAATTCCTGCCTCTGCCTTGAGGTTGCTTTGAGGCTTTCTAGTTTAGTGCTTATACTTTTATATTTCCATGGCACAATGAAAACAAAACTGTAACACTCCAGAAGACCCTGTTGAGATGATGAACAGGTGATTTGGTCCTATCTCCCTTCTCTCCTTTGTCAGTTCTTCTCATACAAGTGGTCAATCTGGGGCAGTGATCTGGTGGTTAAACACGTGCTGACAGTGGTAATCGAATACTAATCCATAATTGCCACAGCAATTTTTGTAAATTCACCTGTCTCTCTCAGTTTTAATACCTTAAGGTTTAAGGACAGGTTGGCGTAACAAAGAATGTTGAGATAGATTTCAAAGCTCCATCCAGCACTCCACAAATACATTTTGAGGTTTTGGGACCCGGCAGATGCTGCTTGATGATGATGTCTTGGCATAACTATCTGAAGAAGCCATTATTCTACAAACACAGATGTTTTAATCTTTTGAGGTATTCTGACCTGTTAAATATGCCTGTGATCTATAAATGTATAATCCAGCCCCTGTTCTTTGAAATCATCTCCCCTTTTGTGTGAGGGACTGTTCTGAAGATCAGAAGCCTGTAAACTTCTTATCC